AGTTGCGGGATATGTTCTATGTCCTGTTCATGGCAATCTCGGGCTACATGGTCTTCGTGGCTGCTGGTTGGCCTTGGGGCGCGCAGGCTGGGCCGATGATCGTCGGCATAATGACGCTGATCTTCTGTGTTGTGGGCTTGCTCAGCCAGGTGTTTACCCGTTCAGTGCAGGCGGCTCGTGTTGCAGCTGGGGAGGTCCGCCGCGAGGTGCATTACGATACTGCGGTCGATCACGGTGACATCGATCGCAAGACGATGTTTGCGCGCGCTGCGACCTTCCTTGGCTATCTAGTTCTGTTCATTGTTCTGATGGCCACCATTGGCCTGATCCCGACAATCCCGATCTTTGTTGCTGCATTCATGTGGTTCGAAGGACGCGAGAAATGGCACGTGATCCTGGCGCATTCCGTGGCGCTGACGCTGTTCGTCTATTTCGTCTTTGACCAGCTGCTGCGTATTCCGTGGCCCCTAACGTTGGTCGGGCAGTGGTTTCCGATCCTGAGGGCCGTTCCCTCGGTCTAGCGACCGATAAGTCGTGATGGACCAAAATCCCATTCCGTATCGTCCGGCATGCTGGACGATCTGCGGGAAAGTTCTATCCCAAGCAATCAGAAAGAATGCGACATGCAGTATCTCGACGCCTTCAACCACTTCTTCCCCAAACCGCTCTGGGACAAGATCCAGACCTTTGAGGGTGCGGGAAAAAACATTGGAAAGCGGATGCAGAACATCCCCTGCATCTTTGATCTCGACGAGCGGCTACGCGTCATGGACCAGTTCGAAAACTATAGGCAGGTCATCTCGCTGGGTATGCCGCCTATTGAGCAAATGGGAACACCCGAAGCGACCCCCGAACTGGCTCGCCTGGGCAATGAAGGCTTCGCGGAACTCTGCGCCAAATATCCCGAGCGGTTCCCTGGCTATCTTGCGGCGCTGCCCATGAACAATCCCGATGAAGCCATCAAAGAGCTCGAGCGGGTGTTCTCTGCCAATGACGAGGCTGTCGGCGTCCAGGTCCACACCAACGTCAACGGTGCACCGCTCGATGACGAGCGCTTTTTCGGCATATTCGAAACGGCGCAGAAGTATGATCGGCCCGTGTTTCTTCATCCCTCACGCGGAGAAGAGATGCCGGACTACGCGGCAGAAGACAAGTCACGCTACGAAATCTGGTGGACGTTTGGCTGGCCCTACGAAACCAGCGCCGCAATGGCGCGCATCGTGCTTTCGGGCATGATGGACAAATTGCCCAACCTAAAGCTTCTCGCGCATCATCTTGGCGCCATGGTGCCCTATTTCGAGGGGCGCGTCGGCCCCGGACAGGACCAACTGGGAAAGCGTACGTCTACGGAAGATCTGTCCCACGTTCTCAGGGATCTCAAGAAGCGCCCCTTTGACTATTTCAAGGATTTCTACGCCGATACCGCCGTTTTCGGATCGCGTCCGGCTACGGTCTGCGGCCTTGAATTCTACGGGGTGGACAAGGTTCTGTTCGCATCGGATAGCCCGTTCGATCCAGAAAAAGGTCCTGGTTACATCCGCGATACCATCGCGGTCCTCAACTCGCTTGATTTGCCCCGGGACGATATGGAAAAGATCTGCTTCAGGAACGCTCAGAAGCTGTTCCGTATCCAATAAGCTCACAGCCCTCCGCCTCGGCGGAGGGCTTTTCTTAGCGTGTAATTGCCACGATGGCCAAGGCCATGAGCCCCGCAACCATGGGGGTCATCCATGAAGACGCCAAGCGGACTGCAACAAAGCGCGCACCGAGCATCGGCATCTCGTACATGATGATCCGGTGCATGGCGAAAACCGACCAAGAGGCCAGCAGGGCTACCATTTGTGCTTCGCCCGCGCCAGCACGCCAGACGACCAGGGCGAGCGGAAACGTCAGGATGGGACCGCCCGGTATCACTGCGCCGAAAAGGCTCGCAATCACAATTCCTGCGAGTCCGCTATCAGACCCGATATAGGGGGTTACCAACTCGGCCGGGACGATAAGGGAGAAAAACGCTGCCGACAAAAGGGCAGGTGGCAGGCGAACGCCAAACACTACCATCTGACTCCGCATGTCTCTGAGCGCAATCGGAAATTGTTCGGGCTTACGGACAAGTACAAGCAAGGCGAACACGACAGCAACGCTGCCCACTATGATGAAGGACATCATCATTGGGCTCGCTCCCATTCCATGGAAAATCCGGGCAAGCGGGAAACGATGCGCTCAGCGATAAGGCCGGCCAAGATTGGGGCCGGCAGGCTCGTGACGAAACGCAAAAGTGCGAAATCGCCGCCCATGAAGGGCAATTCCCATACGAATAATCGATGCAGACCCACAACGCTCCATGCCGTCAGGAAAGCGATGAGTGATCCGACCGATGCTCCCGAACGTCCGAGGGCGACGATCAGCGGAAACGCAGCGAAGGGGCCAGCCGGCATGACAGTGCCAACGAAGCCGGCGATCAAGATGCCCGAAAGTCCCGCCTGCGCCCCCAGATAGCGCGATACGATGGCCCGGGGCACGAGAATTGAAAAGAAGGCGCCAATCGCCAAACCCATTCCGATCAGCGGCAAAATGAACAGCACATCGGAGATCACGATTTGTGCCGCTTCGCGCAGCACCGACGGGCCTTTCAGCCAGACGGCAATGACACCCGACACGACGGCCAGGCCAGACAGGAAATAAAAGGAGCCGTCCAGCAGACGGGGTGAAGTGCTGTTGGACGGCGCCATGGAGCAGACTCTGGTTACTCGTGGATAAGCGGGAGGCGATCAGGCGGCATGGTATCGCGCCATATTGTCGACGGGAAACCCGGTGACCAAAGCCGCCAGCTTCCGGGGATTTTCAGGAAGCCCGTTTCCGCGCCATGCGATATGCAAGTCGGGGCGTACGAGGAAATAGCTGCAGCCGTAGAGGTCACGATATCTGTCTTCCGGAAAATCGAGCACCTTTATGGGCGCGCCAATTTGTCTGAACGCCTCGACGATGGGGTCGACAGCTTCGGTATTGGGCCCCATACGCAAGACCGCGTAGTTCCGTCCCACCAGATCCTGAATGGATACTCCGGGTTTCACCCAGATGTGGGGCAGGCGCACGCCGGTCCAGGGGGTCGAATCATAAGTCCTGAACAGCTGCTCGGGACCACCGGGTTCATCCCAGATGAGGGGGCTATCCACATAGCGGTAGCCGAGTTCGGCGCCCACCATCTCATTGGTCTTCCGCTGCTCGATTTCGGCGACGTTGGCGAGATTGTTTCGCAATGCTTCGCCCTGCGGAGTCTCGTCGTGGAATCCTTTGGCCCACTGGGAGCGCCATTTGCGCCGACCCAGCGATGCGTAGCGCGAAGCGCCAATATTGCGGTCTCCGATCTGGCGGCGCTCGACTTCATATGACTTCAGCAACTTAGGCCCGCCCCAACCGCGCAGCGTGGCCGCCAGTTTCCAGGAAAGGTCGATTGCATCGCCGACACCGGTGTTCATACCCAGCCCGCCGGTCGGAATGACGAGATGAGCCGCATCGCCGGCAAGAAATACCCGATCCTCGCCATAGCGATCTGCCAGCAGAAGATTCTGCTTCCACTCGCCGACATACAGCATCTCATATTTGACCGGCGCAGCGACAATTTTTTCAAATTGTGTGGCCATGGCGGCATCGTCCTCGACAACGGCATGAAGCGTCCAATGACGCGTCGAGTCCTGCATGATCAGGAAGGAGGCCTGATTGTCGGCAACATGGTAGTGTCGCCCGTGACCGGGTCCCGCACCGAGCGGGAGGCGGTCAAACAGCTCGTCGCAGTGATAGAGCGCCTGGCGCAGTTTGAGCAGATTGCCCTCGCCGCGCAGCGATATGTCGAGTGCCTTACGCACGCGGCTGGCGCCCCCGTCGCAGCCGGCCATATAGGTGGAGCGGATATCGAATGTTTCGTCATTCGATGTGCGCACCGTCGTTGTCACGCCGGTCTGATCCTGACGGAAGGCTTCAAACTCCGTGCCATACATGACAGTGACGGAAGGCAGGGCTTCGGCGACCTTCTTTAAAAGGGGCTCGAGCGTGTACTGGGAAATGAGCTGGTAGGCTTCTGCAGGTTCAGACGTGTCTTCGACGCCTGCGATGTGCGCCTGTGCCCTGGCGACGGAATCGTATTCCAGCTGAAGCAGCGGCGGTTCGGTCATTTTCGTTATGACGAAAACGTCCATGGGCGCGTCGGAATTGAGCCCGGCCTCGCGGATTCGCTCAACAATGCCCAGACGGCGGTAGATTTCCATGGTTCTGGCATTGCAGCGTTCCATCTTGGGCAGGAATTCCGGCGCCCCCTTTTTTTCAATGAGGATGCAATTGATGCCTTGCTGCCCAAGGTCGATGGCGAGGGTTAGCCCAACCGGGCCCGCGCCGACAATAAGTACCTGAGTGTTCATTACTGATGTTCCGCTTGTGAAGCCTGCTCCTCAATACGGAGCACCTTAAAAGCCTGAGGTTAGAGCGTCAATAAATAATCTCATTTTATGGGATAGATTGATTGTGACAATCTTTGGATCCTTTCCAACTTGAGGGAAAATGGCGACCGAAAGTTGAGGCCATCATTCACGTCAGATATAAGGGAGTAAGTTCAGGTTTTCGGCGCGTTGGCGGGCATTGCGTCGCCGGTGTGTCGCATTTGAAACGACCGCTTGCGGTCGGGCCGGGGGCAGGATTTGCTAAGCCACGAAAGAATGTTGAGCGTTCTGGATCTTTTTGATCTTGAGCATCCCGAATGGAGCTTCGACGTCATGCATGCAAAGCTCGGGTTTAGCCGCTCGACGCTTTACCGCTATTTGAAAACGTTGACGGATGCGGGCTTTCTGACCTCTTTTCCGGGGCGCGGCTACACGTTGGGGCCACGGGTTATTGAACTCGACTATCAGATCGTAACGACCGACCCACTCATCCACACGGCGCGGCCGGTAATGAATGAGCTAGTCGCAGGATATTCCGGCGTCAGTCTTTTGTGCCGGCGCTATAAGCAAAAGGTATTGTGCGTTCATCAGGAGAGCAGCGCATCCCACGTCCGCAGCACCTATGAGCGTGGCAAGGCGCGCCATATGCTTCGCGGGGCTGCCTCGCTCGCCATCCTGGCCCATTTCTCCAATTACCAGCTTACCAAGCTTTACGATGAGCAATCCGAGCAGTTTCGCAAGGCGGGGCTTGGAGAGTCCCTGGCTGCTGTGCGCGAGACACTCAAGCGCATTCGCCAGAAAGGCTGGGTCCATACCGAGGGGCAGGTCACAAAGGGCGTCACGGGTGTCGCTGCCCCGATATTTGATTCAAAGCAGGAAATCATCGGCAGCCTGAGTTTGACGCTGCCGGAGATCGGGATGGCGGCGGATAGGGTCGCCGCAATCGGCGAGCGCGTGCTCTTCTGCGCCCGAATCATTTCCAAGTCATTGGCGTAGAAGGAGCTTTCATGGGTGAGTCGTGTCGATCGCGCCGGCGAAATCGGTTCGGCAAGCTCTCAAGTTACAAGTAGTATTAAGTCGCATAATATAGGATTGTCGGCAGTTTTTGTTTGACAGCTGGTTTCATATCGCAATAGCATTGCCTCAAATTGAGGGTCTCAAGGATCCGTTTTTGAGGAGAGCTATGCTGTGGCGCGGAATGATGCCCTTTTCGATGAACTGGTGATTGCCAACCGCATTCTGGCGTCACAGGGGGTCTGCGATGCCTTCGGGCATATCAGCGTACGCAATCCCGACAATCCATCGACCTTTTTCCTGTCCTGTGCCCGCTCGCCACAGCTTGTGGAGCGTGAGGACATCATGGAATTCGAGTTCGATGGAACCCCGGTGGGCGGCGACACACGCAAGCCGTTTCTGGAGCGGTTCATCCACGGCAGTCTTTATGAGAGCCGGCCGGATGTGCATTCGGTCATCCACAGCCATTCGCGCAGCGTCATTCCTTTCACGGTCACGCCCACCAAGCTCAGGCCGATTGTTCACAGTTGTGCGACAATTGGCCATGACGTGCCGGTATGGGATGCGCAGACCCAGTTTGGTGACACAAATCTACTTATTTCCAACGTCGAAATGGGGCGCGATTTCGCCAATGTGCTGGCCAGTGGCCGAAGCGCTCTGATGCGGGGGCATGGCTCGACGGTGGTCGGCAATTCCATTCGCGAGGCGGTCTATACGGCTGTCTATCTCGAAGTGAATGCGGGGTTGCAATTGAGCGCGTCCGCTCTCGGTCCCATCACGTTTCTGACTGAAGGCGAGATCGACAATATCCAGTCACGGCTGACCGATGCCAAGCCGGGCGAAGGATATGATCGCGCATGGGCATATTGGAGCCGATTGGCCGGGATCGACAGCTGAAAGTCGCGCTACAGGCGCGGCAAACCAAGCAGCAAAATTTGGATCCAAAAGGGAGGAGATCTATGAAACGGAAAATGCGCGGGGCTTTTGCCCCGATCGGACGGCGGCTTTTTGTCGGCGGGCTGTTGGCGTCGGGGCTCGCACTGGGTCTGGCAGGTGCCGGCTACGCTCAGGAGAGCCCCGAAGAATTCTATTCGGGCAAGACGGTGACGATCTATGTCGGCTTTGGACCGGGCGGTGGATACGATCTTTATGCCCGGCTTGCAGCGGAATTTCTGGGGCGTCATATTCCCGGCAACCCCGAGGTGATCGTTGAGAATATGCCGGGGGCAGGCGGCCGTACGGCCATCCAATATCTCTACAATGTCGCACCCCAAGATGGCACGGCGCTTAGCGTTCCGGTTCAGTCGATGGCGCTCGATAGCCTGCTCAACGTATTGCCGGGTGATATGGATGCCCGCCAGTTTAACGCCATTGGCAGGCTGACCCCGGAATATGAGCTTGGCATGGTCTGGGGCGAAGTCGAGACCCATACACTCGAAGACATCATGGAAACGCCGATTACGTTTGCCTCTACCGGTGCGGGTTCGGCTTCGAGCTTTGTCCCAATGATGCTCAATGACATGATCGGCACCCAGTTTCGCGTTATTCAAGGCTATCAGGGCGCCAATGCCGCTATGATGGCGCTTGAAACGGGCGAAGTTGATGCCGCCATGCAAGGGCTTGCCGGCATGACCGTTTCTCGGCCGGACTGGATTCCGAATGGCATCGTCAACGTCGCTTGGCAGTTGGGCGTGGAGCCGCATGAACAGCTTCCCGATGTTCCCGCTGTTGGCCAGTTGGGCAATAATGACCTCGACCGGGCAGCATTGCGGCTGGTTTCGAGTGCCGCAGAAATCGGCCGTTCGATTATTACGACGCCCAACGTGCCCCAAGACAGGGTGGAAGCCCTTCGCGAGGCTTTCGACGCGATGGTGGCCGATCCCGATTTCATCGCTGCCGCAGAGAGCCGTAGCCATTTGCTCGATACCATGACTGGCGCTGAACTTCAGGCCGAGATCGAGTCGCAGATGTCGGCCACTCAGGAAGTCATCGACCGGGTCGCGCCGTACGTGGTCGCTCAGTAAGATCAAGAGAAGAGGCGGACGGGCCGGATGAACCATCCGGCCCGTTCTTCATTCCGATTGTGCCGGTTGCAGGTCGACCTCGAAGGTTTCGGCAATTCGGCAAGCCAGCATGTAGTGACTTGTCGAAAGCATCAGGTGCATCAGTTGCTCTTCGGTGTAGTGCTTCTGGGCCATGGCAAACGTCTCGTCGGAAACCTTGACGTCGAGCACGACTTCCTCGGCAAATTGAATGGCGGCAAGCTCGGCCTCTAAAAAATGCTTTGAACTCGGGCGCATGCGCAGCGCCAGGATCTTGTCCTCGTCGACCCCGTTCTTGCGCAGGAACTGCTCATGCTGGCGTGCGACATAGGCCGAGCGTGAAAGATTTGCCACGCGAACGATGGCGAACTCGTAAATCAGAATATCGATGGCCAGGTGTTTGCGCAGTTCCGTGCCGTAGTTGAGGTATGGTCCGGTAACCTTTCCCGCATTGGCGATCATTCTAAATATGTTGCCGCCTGGGCTGCGACGCGTGGCCAGGATGGCCTTGGTCTCTTCATCCAGGGCGTCCAAATCGGCATATGCCATGCGGGCCATCGTATTCTCCTGCTGAGCCAGTTTCCCGGCGATTGTAGCGGTTAGGCAGGGGGCGATAAGCGGTGGTTGTCGCACTCTATCGGTTACGGATCGTGACGAATGTGAACCCCCGCCGCAACGCGGATGCAACATTGTGTCAACGTCCAGCATGCGTCTGGAGGCCGCGATTAAGGTAGGGTAGGGCGAAAATAAAGGAGGTCTGCAATGCGTCTTGTGTCATTCGAACATGCGGGCCAGCGGGGCTGGGGCATCCTCACACCGCGGGACGAAATCGTTCTTGGACATCGGCAATGGGAGGGCCGCTATCCCACTCTGAAAGCTGCTTTGGCTGCGCTCGATGCGTCGGCCGTCGCAGAGTTGGCTAACGGCGCAACACCCGATCTCCGGCTCGAGGCGGTCCAGCTTCTGCCTCCCATACCCGATCCCGAGCATATCTACTGCGCCGGGCTCAATTATCTCGCTCACGCGAACGAGGTCGCCAAAGCAGCACCCGAAGCGCCGCGCATCTTCTTGCGGACAGCAAGTTCGCTTGTTGCGCATGGGCAGGCCATAGAGCGCCCCAAGGTTTCAGCAGATCTCGACTATGAGGGGGAACTGGCTGTGATCATCGGGCGGGGTGGTCGCCATATCTCCGTCGAAAATGCTACGAACCACGTCGCGGGCTTTACCGGCTTCATGGACGGCTCGATCCGCGACTATCAGAAGAACACAACGACGGCGGGCAAGAATTTCAATGCCACAGGGGCCATGGGGCCATGGCTGGTGACCTCCGAAGAGGTGGGTGACTGGCGGGAGTTGTCGCTCGAAACGCGGCTGAATGGGGAGGTGGTTCAATCGGCAAAAACCAGCGCCATGATGGTCTCTATCGGGGAATTGATTGCCTATGTCTCGACGATCAGCGTGCTGCAACCGGGCGA